TGTATAATTGTTTAATTGGTTGACAGCAAGTTTGGAATTCTTTCTCTTTAAAAAAAAGGTAAATGATGCATTAAAACTTGGAATGTTTGGTGTGTAAACACTCATTATTGCAATTTTCAATTTCAAATGGTGATTAATGAACATACACCTGGGTAGCGCAGTTTGAGTTGACAGGCACTCAAGAACTGCTTTTGTTTCCTACTCTTGAAATGTACAACTTCAGTTCAAACATAAGTTGTTCATACTTTTTTTGCCTTTTTTTTTTTATTTTCATGGCATCATGTGAAAATGCCTGGTGATCTGCAAAGAGCTCAAGGAGTTGCAGCCAGCAAACACCTGGATTAGTGAAACACCTGTTGATTTCTCGCACTGGGCTGTTTTCTTCCAGCCATCCATCACATTGCCCTGTGGCTGCTGCCCAGACTTCTGCTCTTGCACTACTGCTTGACTTTCCTCTTCCTTTTAACTTCTTCAGTTTTTGTTGACCTTCTGACATCTTTCATCTCTACAATCTTTTATCCTCGTTCTTGCATTTTACCTTCTTTTGAATTGTGCCGTCTATCTAAAAAATACTTCTTCATTCATGGCCTTTGGCGCCGTACCATTTGGCCTTCGAATTTTGTTTCTGCGTTATAAAAAGCTCCTCTGACGTTGCACCTTTCTTTTCCATTCTCTGTTCATGAATCATGTGCCTTTGAATGCCGATAGTTTTCCTGGGTGCATGGTTTTGTCAGGAATCCTGCCACCTTGCCTAAGGCCCTCTCGTAAAGGTGCGGAGTTTGACACGGTGTTTTAGAAATCAGCATCTCATTTTAACATGCGGAAATATGTTACAAGGTCACAAGACGAGATGGGGGAGAAAAGCCAAAACGGTGCCACTTACTGTTTGTCAGGCCCTTGAGTGTGTCAATTGCACTAATGGAATGACGTGGGTCGTACGTAACTCGTTCACGTATCACACAGTGCTTGTGAAACGTGAGGCTGGAGAGGTCGGGGAAGAAGTGCTGTCATTATGAGTGAATGTGTCTTCTCAATCAAGTCTGTTCTTTGTACCTTGCTGACTTGCCATTCTCCTTTATTTATGAACACTTCTCTTTTTCCTTCCAGGTCGTAGGAGGCCTAGATATCCACAAAAAGATGGTTGTAGATGTGTGACTCTGTAGGGCACCACCCAACACTTTTGCTTTCTTCTCCATCTCTGAAGATCTGCTCAAGACGTCCAGCAATGCTCTCTGTGTATTTAAATGGAAGTATTTTTCTCTGTGAAGCCACATTTTCCAACATGAGCCTCATGAAGCCAACTAAGTGTTATTGAACTTTTATTCTCTCAATAACTCAGTGTAGCACTTTAAAGTCTGAAGGACAGCAAAGATGGAAAGAGCATATCAGTGTGGTGGAGAAAGGGAAGGGGTTGGCTTTTTAATTTATTTTTCTTCATCTTTTATAACAAGGAAATATCTATCTATATATATATATGTGTGTGTGTATTTATATATAGATATATATGTAGCTTTCTATATGTAGTAGCTAGGTGGGCTTTAATTTAATATACTTGATTCAGAAACAAAACTAGAGTACAAAGTGCCAAGCAGAATATTAACAGTTCAATATATGGATATACATCCTTACTTTTATTTCACACAGTTTTATATATATAGTAGAAGAATGTAAAATTTTAACTGGGTGTTAGGTCAACTCTTTTCCTTTTCCTGTGACTGTTCAGATGTTTCTATATATTGACTGGCTGACAAAGCATTGCTTCTTATTAATTCACCTTAATTTACATTTTTTTGTAACACAGGAGACTAAGTTTATTTATACCTGTTAATATATTACCAGGGACTGTGTCTCTTTGCTAAATAACTTAGTACAGTACTTAATAGTACTTAATAGGAGAATATAGTTTAACGCTACTGCCAAGAACTAGCCCTCACGTGCATATAGTAACCGCAGACCGCTTTGATGGCCGCTAGATTTTGTCACCTAGGAATTGGGAGCAGTTCCAGCTGTCCTGACGTTAAGGCAAGTCTGCTGTTCTGGATTCGTTTTAGACACAGCTGCTCGAGGTGTCGGCCGCAGTCATGATTTTCTCTTGTGCTTAGCTTAACGAAATTAGAATCGACATAACTGTGCAGGATTCCCATCTACTTATTTTATACAGTACTTAGATGATAAAACGTTCTTGCCATTTAAATTCTGTTGTTTCAACCAGGATAGTTTCCCCTCTGCATTTAAAGAATACTACAGGTAGCATAAATAACTGGTAATATTTTATATATATATGTATATAGGATTCATACAGGGGGAAAATCTTGTTAACCTATGCCATAGAGGAGGAAAAGTTCACACTATCTAAATTTATACCTCTTGCGGTTCTCCAGTCCTTTGCCTGGGGAATTTTTTTTTCTTTTCTAGATTTGTCCATATCATAATTTGTAACGGATGGTAACTTGATATATTTGTGTGATATAAAAGTAGCGAGCCATGTTTTACAACTTTATATCATCCCTTCCCTTTTCTGCAATGGTACTATTGGCCGGAAGAAAAACATTTGCTAGATTTTTTAGGACAGTACATCTTTCCTGTATAGTAGTTTTTCTATTGAAAAAAATTGTTTTATAATCAGCAGTGGGAAGCGCAGGTTGTCTAAACCTGCTTCAGTCGAGCACCTGTCTGCCATAGCTGTTCCTTCAACTGAGTGCTGCACATCATGGGCTCTGTCTGTGAGAGAGAAATCCAGGTGCTTGGTGTCCTTGCATGACATGAAGTTTTGCATGTAGATCGATTTGAAATGTTCCTCTTGTTTACATAATTTGCATAATTTAAAAGATAATGTTGCCAAACTTTGGTAAATGTTCAATGTTCAAAACAAAAATCTCCACTACATGTAACTTTTTTCTTCCTCTGGATCAGTACGTGGTTTATAATCCCAGCCAGTGGTTGTATCTGTTCCAGTGTCAACTGCCATGTGCTCTGCTTCAAGGGGGAACTAGTCTTTTGTGAATTTTTTTTGTACATAACTATTTGTTACAAACATTTTAGCAAATGCTTTCGATTTCTCTTACTTGCTTGTGCATATCTTGGCTGGCATTATAGAAATTAGTGCTAATGTTATTTCCTTAGGGGGATTGGAAGGGGAGGGGTGAGGTTGGATTTTTTTTTTTTTTAGTTTGTGTGGGGAAAAATGATTTATGTTGAATGTTTAGTTTTTCCTCTGCATGCTACATCATATGTTGTGGGAACTATAAGAACCTTCATACTATATGAATACAAAATAAAATATTTGAACCTTGGCTGGGGTGCTTCACTACTTACCTGGACCTTTCCTGTTCAACTTCAAAGCAGCTCAGCGCTCTGCTCCAAAGAAAAGAAACCTTGCTTTTCATAGTTTTTGTGTCCCCTCTTTAAGATTTACTGAAAAACTGTACAGGGTGCATACAGTCCCCCGAGTATGTTGTTGCAGTGCCTCAAGAGCACTTACATGTGTGGTTGTTTGGGTTTTTTTTTTTAAGGCACATGTGGTTCTCTTTGCTACATGTCCAACATGGCTAAAATACCTTGTTTTAAATCCTACTGAATTCAGAGTGAGTGTGGTAAGTGGAAGGTGGTTTAAAAAACAAAACAAGGAAAGAAAAAACCCTAACCTTAATGGAGATGGAGAAGGAAAGGCAGCTTCGTTCTCAAGGAAAGGTCCAAGACCTCTGTTGGTGAAAACAATCCTCCCTGTAGCAGGTATGTCCTTCACGGCAGCTGTCTGGGCCTTGTGTGCTGCCCTCTCCCTCTCTACTGCTTTTGGTCAGCACCAGGACGCACCTGCTTTAGGACAGAGATTAGATTACTTGTGTGTGTCCTTGCCTCGCTCTCCCCTCTGACCTTTCAAGCTAACGAGATAAATGGTGTAAAAGCCAATGAACAGAAAATGTCTGGTTACACTGGTAACCAGGTGGGTGCACGGCTTTGAACGGATACACTCTCCCCTCCGTAGCTCAGACTGCCAAGAGCTGTCGTTAGGTAGCTCGGCTAGTTTTAAATCACTTTAACGACTGAAGCTTTAAATAAATTTGGCAGGAATAATCCCATACAACTAAGTGCTGCACTGGCACCTCGGACTTAGAGAGAAGCACTTACTCTGTTTGCTAGTGATCATCTCACTTCAGTTTTTGTTTTCATTCACAAACCTGAGCTGAGTTATTTTGCAAGAGGCTCAGTAACCGGTCTGGCTGGTGGTGGCAGGAGTCAAGGACGTTTAAGCCATGTTTAAGCCAGACTGCGACTGTGGCTGGTCTGCGCAGTCTCTGCCCCTGTTCTGTTGCACAGGTGTAGCATTTGACGGAGGACACAGCACTTTGGTTGGCAGTGCCCCGGTATGCTGGCGAGTACTGAACCTGGTGGCTCCTAGCTTTGCTAGGCTGCCCTTTACGGATCATTTGTGAGAGAATAAAAAATTCTACATAGGTGCAGAGCCTAGGATTAAGTTCAAATCCGCTATTTCACTCTGTCATCTTACCAGGTTTGCGATAACGCTGTTCCATCAATAGCAGAGGCTCCCTGGGCAGCCTGCCACTGAGCTTTGCATTCCAGTTGACTTTTCCTTTTTCCAGGAACATAGTGTTCCGTGACGTGTGGTTATGAACACTTCTAACTATGCTGATGCCTTTAGGCTCAAACCGAAGAGCTTTCAGAAGTCCTCACAGCAGCCTCTTCTTAATACTTTGATGTTCAGGAAGTCAGTAATGAAGCCTGGTTTTGTTTGAGGAAAGAGGTAGCTGTACTTCTGATACAGACACAATTTAAAATAACTTTTAATGACTACACAGAGATATGGTGCTCAAGTCAGGCTTGCTGTCCGATTTGAAATTCGACTGCACAGACAGTCCTGGTTTTCTTCTGGGCTTCCCACTCAAGCAGAAGAGCAAGTGCTGCTGTAGCTCCAGGCCTCTCCTGCGCACAGAAACCACGGCTCCCAGCCCCAGTCCTTGGTGGCGCAGCTGTGCTGCAGCTCAGAACCTCTCAGCTGCTCTGCTGGCCACTGCCCGGATGTTGCCATAAACTTTTGATGGAGGACTTCCTGCAGAAGAAAACACATTTTGTCAGCAACATCTGTCACAAACAGATGTTTTCTTCTCACGTCTGTGGTAACAGTGAAGAAGTAAGTCCAAGGCTGAGAAGGATGGTCAAGGTTAGGCTATTACTGCAAGCACAGAGTTAAACTTTCTCTGTCAGCGTGGGCCGCCCCTTCAGCTTTTCTGCAGGCTGCATTCAAAATAGCCCCTCAGGGAACGTGCAGCTAAATCAAAGAGCAGTTAAATCAAAACCTTCCTTCTGCACCACGGAGAGGGTTTGGGAGCCTTAAACCAAACCCTTCTCAAAGGCAACAAGACAACTCCCAGCAGGCTACCTGCTCCAAAGGCAGCTGTGGACACACCAGGGAAGAAGCCAAGACCCACAGAAGGCACTTGCTTTAACTGCAAGGTCTATTTATACGTGATGGAGAAGATTAGATAACAGGACTTACCTAAAATTAGATTGCAAATTGCTGTTCGTGCCATTTTAATGTTCTGAAAAGATCCCAAAATATGAATTTTCCTGTGAAAAAAGCAGTCAAAGTAGCATGAGTTAGTTGAGGGAAAAAACCTAATTACATAGTTAATAGAAAGTTTGAAGGTCAGAGATGAATGTGAAATTTCAGATCAATGTACTGGTTCCTTTTCTACACTCGTATGTTTTCTGGTGTGTTTTTTTTTTTATTTACCACGTAAAACCTGTTATAAATCCGTTTTAAAACAGATTTTTTACAACTTGCAAATTTAACACTCTAGCAGCTTTAGAAGGAAAAAATTATTGTTAAGATGGCAGGTTCAACTTTGGTTATTCATATGAAGGAATTCTTACGCTGTGGGGAATTCTGGGTATGAGGATATTGTCATTGTTCTCACAGCAAAAGGCCAAATAAATACTTGAATAGCATTTGTTAAAAACAGCACTTAAATAATTTGTCTTACTACTGCTCTACAAATATTAAAAAAAAATAATCCAAGTTATCTTTGTGGAGAAGGACTGGATTAGTTTCCAGACTGCACTCTGCCTAGAGGGAAGTCAGTCGATACTTACGCATCAGCAAGAACGATTCGTGTCCTGGTTACGTTTTCTATAGTGAACTTTGTTTTTCCACCTTTCCCTGCTATTCTCCCTATTGCTCTAGACAGATGATCTCCTTTCAGAGGTTTGACTGAAACAAGAATAACGTGATCAGTACGAGAACAGGGCTGTGTATTCCTGTAATGCTTCCCAGTTACTGGGAACAACTCACTGTAATTCACGCGAAAGCAGCTTTACTGAGGTGAATACAGATGGGTATTTATTTCACTTGATGGAACTAGAAGTGAAAATTGCATCCAGTGCGATGTGACAGGGAGGTCCCTGGCCTCAAAGAGAAATTCCCATACAGAACCACGAGGGGAAGGCGTTCCCTTCATTACCGAGTAATTAACACTGAGGGAAGAAACGGGCACAGTGCACATAATTAACATGAGTACAAACGTAAGAGCAGCATCTACATCTAATCTAAATGGGACTCCAAGGAGTCCCAGTAATACCTGAACTAGCAGCTATTTCTACCCACTTCCTACCCCTAACTGTCAGGATAGTGGGAGGACTGAAGCTCGTTTCGGTTTAAAACTCTTTAACGGATGTGTTCTCCCAAACACTCTGTGTCAGTCACCTTTAAAACAACATTTACACCGTGAACAAGGAAACATCAAATCACTCTGACAAAGGGACACACTTTAAGGACAGATGTTTGAGAGGTTTTGTTGGGACATCTTAGAAAAATGACAACCCTTTCAAGCCGCCTGTACCTAGAGAGTAATTCTGTGTAGCGGCATGAAGATTTTCCTCGTCCCTAAGGATGAGTGACAGAAGGGGAGCAGGAAGAGACAAAAAAACGTCCTTGTAGGTGGTACACACAACTACTTGAAGAATACTGCCGCAGAAACTACTTACCATCTGTAACTTCAAATGATTCTAGAAAAAGATCATCTAATCTGATGAGAGCAAGAGCATCCTAAAATATTAAAAAGATCTGTTATCAGCATGAGCGTTGCAGAACCACACCAGCACTGAAAGCTGATGTTTTCTTTTTTACATATGAACAGATGATACTGGTGGTATTTCTCCACTTAACACCTCAAACAATAAATAAGCTTTTTTTTTCCAATAAGCTTTATTTTCAAATAGCAATATAAATTTTATTTCTGTGTAGAGAACTCTACCCATCCGTAGATGCCCCCACATTCACCCCAGACCAGTGAAGTCAGTAAAAGTCGATGGCAACAGGCAGCCCATACAATGCTGAAAAAACGGGGTTTTGTTTTCTCCAAGTAAAGTCTGAGTTTTGAGCAGACTGAAGGTAGTTACTGGTTTGGACTAAAGCAAAATGAACAGTCTCTGCACGTGCAGAGCACTTCAGAGACACATCATTGGCTCATGCTTGCCTCTCATAGCTAAATCTGTCTCCAATTCATAGTTTTAATTATGTGCTGTTTGAAGGTTACTTTTTTATCCTGCATTAGTTTAAGAAACTAGACTTCTACTCTAGTCACAATTTAAAAAAAAATTATAAAAAACACCAAAGGATTTTTATTTTTTACTGTAATTTGCACAGAGACCAAAGATATTGTGCAAGCAAATTTAAGCAGCCTCACAACTCGAGCTGTTGGGAGACCCACCTCTACTTGAAACCCGAGTATAAATGCTTTGACAAAATCAGCCGCTTTTGTTAGAGCACTGAGATCCTTCGTCTCTTGACAAGTCTGCAAGACAAGAAGTTACAAGTGCAAAGTAAGAAAATACAAGTAGGATCAGGATTTGAAACATCTAAGAGATACACATTCAGGTAACGCTCCTAGATTGTATTTTGATGAAAAACCCAAGTAACACACTTTGTGATTATTATTTTTTTTTAATAATGTTGACCCTTAGCAACAAGAATGCATCTGCTGCCACAGCCTCCCTTTGGAGGGGAAGGAAAAGAGAAGCTGCTGAAAATCCCCAGCACCACCTTTTTATGGCAAAACCCAAAGAATGGAAACTAAACTGCAATACAGTACAGCGGGAAAAAAATAAGAGGATGATGGCAAGAGACAGCCTAAGGAGGGAAAGTTATTTTAATTACATGAGAAAAATGAAAAAGATACTTGGAACTGGAACAAATAGACCTGACAAAGCAGTAAGTGTTGGAGTGTTTCAGTTTTCTATGGGTTTTTTTTTTCCCCTCTGCCAGCAGAGGCCACAAGATTTGCTGCCAGGGCCATTTTTTTCAGTTTAAAATTGGGGCAAAGCATTCCTCTGCTGTAGTTGAAAAGTTTGTGCACGTCTGCCTGTACAGATCCTAACCGGGATGAGTTAGAAAAGAGCGGTCTTTGAAGATGTAGAGAAGAAAAGCTCTTTTTCAGTGCAAATCCCAAGCTGTGAAACGACAGGCCTTTATTTTCTGCCACAAACTGAACAGAAGATTCAGTGGCCACCTCAAAATTCGCTGTTAACTCAAAATGGTCACGTAACTACTTAGTGGCCTGAAATAGCTGGAAAACGCTCCATTCCAGACTCATACCGAACACACAGACTAACACTCTTCCTCAATCCTCAAACACATAATTTTCTCCTATAAAGAGAACTGAAAAAAAGAAGAAAAACTCCCAGAAAGAACTGACACTTTTAAATTTTACTTGAGCTAATTAAGCCTCTATTCTGACTCTATTCTCTTCTGACACCCGGCCGAGGTTTCCCGGTGTGGTGACACTGCGCAGTTCCCCTTCTCTCAAGCATTATCTCCCCCAGCCTCGGGCACTCACAGCCCCGGCGGGTGTGAGCTGGGAAAGCAGCGGGATCTCTCTTTACCTTGATTTCAACGTTTCTGGTCTTCAAATTAAACCTGATCTGAAGCTGCAGGTGCTCCACGATAGGCGTGAATATCTTCATCCAGTTCTCCTTCAGCGGGGTGTACCTGTTGGCCGGCACGGGAACCCTCCTCACCTCCCCTT